CTTCTTCTTTCCTTCTTCTTCTTTCCTTCTGATTATTTCTCCTTCCTTTGGATACCCGTTTCTTTTCCCCTTTTTGTTTTTTTCTGGCATGTTTGGCATCTTTTCCTTGGCAGACACCTTTGAAGCCAGTAAGTTGCATTTCTTCAAACAAACCAGGATTAACTCCTGAAGCTGGCTACAGATGTTGCATTTAACTAGCTTTTTTTTTTTTTTCCCTGGGCTTAAGTAATTAAATAATAATAATAATAATTCTGAACAAACCCAGGTTTACTTGCAAGGCAAAAAAAAAAAAGCTTAAAACTTAGCACAGGTGGAGAAAAATAAAATTCACCAGGACTCTGTTTTTGTTTTTTTCCACAATTCTTTCTCTGCCATTTATAATCTGTAAAGGGAATTGCAGAGAGGCGTGTTTTTGGAGGGGAAACATACATTTTTTCCTCCTGGCCTCAGCAAAACCTTTGAAACTAAGGGAGGGGAGAGAGACTCCTGTAATATATAAAGCATCAAGGATTTTTGGGGTCACCCGAGGCTGAACAGAACACCCAACATCTGGAGCAAAAGGCCCAGCTGTTTTACCACAAAGTAGTCCTGGACTTACCACCACAATTAAACCCAGGATATAGGTTGCTAAGCAAGACATTTCTTAAGTGCGTTTTGCCCCGTTCTACGACCTGCCTCTTGCCGCGGTTCTTAAGCGAATCGCCGCCACGGCGGCTAAATGAGTCCCATGGTTCTTAAGCAAATCGGGCTTCTCCGCTGACTTTCCAGAAGGTCACAAAAGAAGAAACTGCGTCGTAAATACGAGTCGGTTGCCCAGCGTCTGAATTTGGAGCACAGATGCATGGGGATGTTGTGTGAAAACAGTTGTCGGTCACTTTTTTTAAGAGCAGTTGTAACGTCGGTCACTAAATGAACTGTTGTAAGTCTACCGTGTTTCCCCCCAAAATAAGACGGAGTTTTATATTAATGTTTGCTCCAAAAGATGCATTAGGGCTTAATTTCTGGTTAGGGCTTAGTTTCAGGGAAAGACAGGTCTAAATGCATCTGTCTGGCTGACAACCTTAACTGGGGTTTATTTTTAGGGTAGGGCCTATATTACGAGCATGCTGCAAAATCGTGCTAGGACTTAATTCTCCAGTTGGGTCTTATTTTCAGGGAAACAGGGTAGGATTATCAGTCTTCTGGGTGGGAATTTGATCCTGGGCTATAGAATTCTAATTTTTTTTTCTTATCCCCTTCTTTAAAAGCAACTTCAGAAAAGAACCACCTGGGTGGTTGGTGGAGGGAGGTGTGTGTTTGTGTGTCGAGAGAGACAGTTGTGTTCCTGGGAGAGAGAGACATTCCAGCTTGTTTTTGCTGCTCTCAGCGTGGGAGAAGTTAGTTGGCAGCAAATTTGAGGCCTGCTTAAACCCACACCAGAAGGACTGCGGGAAGAGCTAGCCAGCCACTCCCGCTACCTCTCTAGGGAGGGGTTGACAGGTAAAAAAGAAACAACTCCCCAAACAATTTGCTTCCCGTTGCACAATGTCGGTCCTTTCCCTGCACCAAGAAATCTAGTCTCTTAGGGAGAGGTGGCTTCCGCTCTCGTCTTTTCCTTGCAAAACCAACTTCTTTGATGGATTTGGTTTTTGAAACTGTATATATGTTGAGTTTGCAAGAGGAGAGGGGAGGCTTTCTCTCCCTGAGAGACTAGATTTCTAGGTGCAGGGAAGGGATGTTTATTTTTGCAAAAGCGTGCAAATATGTGTGCTTGTTTTTTTTTTTAAATTTAGGCGCATTGATTCGTGGCTCAAAGCAGCGTGCAAATCGAATGCAAACCTTAAAATGTTCGAATAAAAGCCTACGGGAGGGAGGATGCAAACGTGAAACCAGAATCATGGTTCAAAATGATACAATAGGAACATTAAAAGCATGCAAGGGAATGCAAACATTAAAATAGAAACATAGTTCCAAACCACAGAAGAGAAACATTAAAATAAAAGCATGCCAT